AGAGAGAGAGAGAGAGAAAGCGGGGGAAGGGGGGAAAGAGAGATGTATCTTGACGAATTTGAAGCTAGTTCCTTAACGAGGACTTGACAAAAGATCTTGTTGTGAGGGTTACTGTCATCGAATATTAAAAGATTTTGCCTAATAGAATTTCAAAAGAAGAGATAGATAAAACAATACACTATTTCTTGATTAATCTAATAATAAATAAATCTAATAATAATAGATTAATCTAATAATAAAATAATTACATTATATCCATTTTATTAAAAATAAAAAAAATCGGTTATTATTAATTATGTTATGGTAGCATTGCAAATTGTAGATAAATGTGCAACCTAATATAACACGAACGATGTAGTTCAACAATCATTCTTATAGCATGTCAGCAACACGCAAATCCGTACGACAAATCGCGCGCAGTCCCAATCGTCCTCCCCGCTTCCCTTCGTTTGAGAATCAGCGAATCTCCGCGGGATCAGGGGCACCTAGGAATCGACCCCTTTGTCCTGCGTATCCCTCGTGTGCAGCGCGACGTCGGTTAATTTATATTTATCCTCTTCTTTAGTATATGCGGGAACCTGCAGGCCGTTTCCGATATTCGAGCGGCGTTTGGAAGAGAAGCGTTTACACGCTGGGGGTGAAGGAGAAGGAAGCGAGAGGGGGAAGGGGGGGGGACGGCCGCGAAAAGGGGCGAAACGACGAGAAAGAGAAAGAGAGACAGGGGCGATGGAGTAGATAAATAGATGGATGGGCAATATTATAACTCACCGGCTGTCATCCTGTACGGCCGAGTCAGGCTGCTAATCAGACCCCGGCGCGCACTCGCCCCTCGACCGACCCTTCACGAAAAATGGATTTATTGCCGTTCGCCTCGACTTCGGCACGCTATCGAGCTCTCTGATCCATAGAATGTAACCATCGTCGTACTATTCGCGTCGGATCCTCCCTCCGGGCCGAGTCTCTTTCCCTCCTACCCTCTCGATCTTGGCCTGCCGAAAACCGAAAACCGCCTCCCGAAGCTCTTTCGATTTCAATGTGGCGGAAAACGCTAGAAACTCAAAATCAAATTTTTACACATAAGTTGTAAGAAACGAGAAAAACGATGAAATTATCAAACATTTAATTGTGCGTAAAAGCAATCGTCTTTGGAAATTCAATCGTATATAAAAAAAGATAATAATATCACATAATTAGCATATATATATAAGAAGCTATATAAACATTTACATTAATTTATAAATAATATAATTGAAAGATATTCTATTTTTACTTAGATTATATAATAATGTAATGAATATTTTTATTTTATGAACATTATCTACCTTTTCATCTCTTCAAATTCTTTATTACGAATTTGGTTACAAATACATATGAAAATTTCCTATTTATTCAAAATTACAAGTTTTTATTATGCTATTGTACTCGAAATTATGTTTTTGAGAATTTTAAATCCTTCCTAGTCAAATAATTTTGTCATACTTGGAATTGTATCATCCAAAATCAATTGTTTCATGAATCTCGTTTTCTTATAAATATGGAAATGGTAATGCGCTCTTTTTCTCGCGTGCATCATCATATTGTGCCCATGGCGCGTAACGCACGGTTTTCTTCTTCCCATCACCCTTCAATGGACTTCTCATCTCACCGCGCCCGACTTGTGTGCACGTGGGTGTTCTCAGTTTCCACGAGAACGCGCCGCTTTCACCGCGGTCGATGACGATGAGAGGGTTGGATCGCGGGTAAAAGGAGGCAAGGAAACGTTCGGAGAGAGGGGGACAGTCGCGGAACGACAGGAGGAAGAATGGCGTGGAGCGGAGGGCGGCGGGGCGGAAGGAGGGGGGGAGTAAGGGGTCAAGTGAGGACCAATGCATCAAGCAAACCGTGACACTCGCCTCCGCATGGCGTGCATAGATCATGCCGACCTCGTCGGTACGCGACGGGGACGACGTGAGACGGGGAACGATCTAAGCCGTACACTGTAG